AAACCTTTCTGAGAATCACCAGACTCTTGAGAAATACAATTTTGTTTGTTCAATAATTCAATAAGAATCCAATTAAGGAACCCATAAGGTTAGAAGTTCATTTGTAGAAAATCAGTGAGGTATCATAATTTTTGTTTTCTGGTAGAGAAATTTTCTCCTGAGGTTGTAATTTTATTTCCCTCTACTATCGAGGTTTAAGCCGTTCTTAGCGATCTCATTCACCAAAGTCTTCCTCCCTGAGTCCTGAGATTCCAGCTGTTCATATTCCCTTCAGATTTCTCTGTTACTCTGATGATGCATTGATGAAGCTTGATTTACACATTCATGTGAGGATTAAGTTATGCTTTCAGTGAGTAAAGAATCCATGCTTTGACGCTGTCAGTCCTATGAGGTAGGTAGTAAGTAGGTCCTCACTTCACAGAGGAGGACACTGAGTCTCAGAGTAGGCACATTACGTACCCAGCTTGAAGAGGCCAGAAGCAACAGTGCTGGGCTTTGAACACAAACTTTCCTCAGGTCCTTTCCAGGAAACACATTGGTGACTCCCATGTAGACTAAAAATTTGAGCTGAAGCATTTACACAACCTCAACCTTATCAACATAGGTATATATGTTAGAAGTATAAGCATGGCAGTTGGTTATCAATGTGTGAGACCTGAGTATTTAAGTAGCAACCGAAGAGACTATCTACTGACTTGTTTGCATTCTCAAGTTATGGAAGTTGGAAATGTGGGGCGCATTTGCCCATAGATTATGTGGAACACTATCATTAAAGAGTGAACTAACAATGTTTTGCTGACTCCATCCGTGGTGTGCATAACGGTGAGAAAATTGCTACTGAGTTTAAAAGAGAAGTCACTGAAACATATTTAGAATACTTACTCCAGCGCACCATGATAGTTCATGGGCATGTCTGCCCATAACACAGTCTGAGAGCTTTTTGAATAAATCTGACCAAGTGACCAGTCTACCTTGTTGTAAACATGTTTAGGCTACCTCACCCTGGGACTGATGGACCCTTTCTCCTTCCTAGGCGTGCAAGGGATTTGGGTCCCTGTGGAACAGATCGGTCTCAGTGAAGATGAAGGAGTGATACGTGGCCCTTTATCTGAAAGCACCTTGGCATATACAGAACTTTGTCTTGGAAGAGCCTCAAGAAAAGAAAGTTGGCCCTGTATGTACACAGTTCCTCTGTCAACAACTGTGGCCCTCAGCTCGGTAGACACCTTACAAATGCACCCGCTTGTCCACCTGGGGGTTCGTTCAGGGTCTACACAGATGTTCGAGGCTCTCTGCATAAATAAGCTCTCATATCGAGGTTGATAAAAATCCGTACTCAAACAGCAAGGCTCGGCCCATCCAACTGCAGCTTGGCGGTGACCATCTGGCCTGCTTTCCCGTACAGCACGCCCTGATCTGACGGGCGTTGGCAGCCGTGTGCCCGAGACTGCAGCTGAGTGCGCCAGCCCGCCCCACGTCCTCCCCGAGCGGCAGAAATTCAGCCCCCGCTGAAGTGAAGGATCTGTGCGGCTCACATTCACCCTGACTCACAGTTTCACTGTTTGATCCTGACTAAAGCTGCTCAATGTGTCTGTGGTTTTCTTACACAAATTTTCAAGCCAGCCAGTGCTATTATAAAGTGGCTTTTCCAACCCTGATGTTGGGGGTGGATTTTTAGCTCGCATATTTTTTCCAGATGTGATAAGCTCTCCATAGCCCTCTTGGTGAGCGAAAGCATAGCCAGATCTTCTCGAGCTTGACCTACGGGTCTGCGGCCTCTGCCTCCTTGTAGGCCTTGCCTTCTGCTGAGCTTTCTGTCGCCGACGGATCTAAGGAGGAACAGAGGCAGAGTGAGAAGATGCAAATCAAGAAACTATTGTGTGAACAGGACACATTCAGATAAACTTCGTTATTGTCTCCACGTTGGATGCCTTAACTGCACAGAAGAATATGTACTGGGGACAGAAGCCAGAGCCCTGTGTATGCTTGGTACAGTACATGCTCATATGGAGAAAGATTTTTAACACACACCCTCTAGTTTTATAGTCTTACTCCCCCAGAATGGTGCATCCCTCTTTTGTGGAGCTTCTCTGGCCCAACAGCTACCAGCAACTGGAGTAGAAGAAAATGTAGGAAATGAGACAGAAGTTTTTAATGCTTCTGTTAGGTCAGTATGTCATAGAGCTATCAGGGGTTTGATTTATTTAGGAATTTTTGTGGTCATCTGAAGGGCTCAAGATCACTTGAGTGGGTGGCCAGCATTTCTTTCCTTTCCCTGCATAAGAGGAAAAGATCAGAGGCTTGGTGTGAATGACCTTGTTCTCTGATTTGGCAAATCACTGGGATTCTGACTTGTGTATCAGAAGAAAGTTGTTGAGCAGAAAGTTGCCATCAGACTAAACATAGGAATGACAGGCATTAACTTATTTTTTTCTGCCTATCCATCATTTTCTGGGTTTGTAGTAGCTCAGAAGCACAAAGAAAGAAGACAGATAGGGACTCTGAATCTCCAGAAGGGATAGTTTTGTACTTGGGTTGCAGAATGTAAGGGCCCCAGATGTGATAAGCTCTCCATATCTTGGTGAGCTCAAGCATGGCCAGAACAAGTAAAGTTCCCAGCTTCATTGGCCTGATCCCAGATCCTCATGGATGCTTGCCCTTCCTGTGGCATGCATGGCTCCATGTGTGGGTCTCGTCTGTCTTCCCTTCTCTTCCTATCTGTGTCTTGACCTAACAAGACACAGTGTTAGGTATGGATTATAATCCTCATCTCATGAAATCCCAGAATCTCACCTCACTTCCCAGTTGAGATACTTCCATAATCTGTTCTTCCTATTTTCCTTCTACTTTGCATTTCCTGATCCATCTGTCATGCTGACATTGCCCTTGTATCTGTCCCCTGTATTTCTCAATCTGCTTGTGTATTTCTACATTTATAGCCTCTGACTTGGTCTGTTCTTCGCTCCCTCCTACTGTACCCTTTACCACAGCATGCCTTTCTCTTGGAGCGTTTGTCCAAGCTAATTCCAATGTGCTTCTTTTATAAAACCACTTTTAAAAACACCTAATCTGTAATTTTTGACTCTCCACCCGCACTTGTTCCAGAAGTTTCTCTTCATTCCTTCTGCCCCAATGTGATGCCAAGCACCCTGTGGGTTCTTGAGCTTTGGAATTCCACTAGCCCCTCCCTGGGCTTCCAAGCAGACAGAGGAGAAGACCATTCTGAGAGCCGAGAACCAGGCTCCGAGCACTCAGCACCCAGCACGCCCCACATACCTGGTCAGACAGGGTTGGGTACAAAGCCATCCTCAGAAACCTAAATGCCACTACGGGCATAACTGAGGCCACAGTCGTTAGGAGAATAACAAGCCAGATGCATCTCTGGGTCAAAGAATTCTGTATGTTTCCTGTGATTAAAGAAAAATATACCCTGTGGTTATAAACAGGACTGGTTTCTCAGTAGGCTCAGGACGGGTAAGGTCTCTTCTGGAACCATGACATTTGGACTGTTTGCCAGAATGGGGGTGTCGTCCCCAGGCACCGAGTACTCGGTGATGGTGAGGAGAAGGCCCGCAGCAAGCTCACCCTGAACCAGGCCGAGCCAAGCATGCTGGGACCCAGGCTCAGTCCAGAGCCACTCAGGAAGCGCAACTCCCTCTTTCCGCCTCAAGATCCCTTGGCTACAGTGCCTGCCTCACAGCCAAACCTCTGTACTCGGGATCGCAGAACTCGTCAGACCCGGTATGATCCTGTCCTGACAATAATGTTCCACCGCTCCGTGCTCACCTCAGTAGTTTGCAAACAGGCACAAGCTCAGACTCCTCCTTACTGTCTGTACTTTTGGGCATTTTAAGTAACCGTGAGTTGCAAAAAAGGTTAAGAGTGGAGCCCATAAGCCTAAAAGGCTACCATTAGCTCAGTAAAATGCGAGCCTTCTGGGAAGTGTTCACAAATTACTCCTAACTGCATTGTTTCTTATGGCAAAAATTTATTCATTACTTACTGGTATCAGTGCTTATCAAGAGTTCTGGAACGGATTTGTGAGGAGGACTGAGGTATGGCTGTATCTTCAAAAGATGCTGTTTACCTTTGTGGGTTCTTAAATAAAATCATACTCTTAAAATTCTCAATAAATGTTCTGAATGCAGGCATCATTTCAAATAATAGCCTGATCAGCTGGCTGAAATAAAAGGTGAGCTGGATCTACCGCAGGGCCAATTTTTAAATTCCAGGCAATGGCCCCAGAAAACCTGCCTCAAAGATTATGAGCTACTTCAAGTTCCAAGGCAAGCACGGGGTGCCTGGTTTGTGTAAAGAGCACCCTCCTCTGCCGGCCACCAATGGCTCCAGCAATGGAGCCACCCAACATCCAGGGCAAGCAGACAGCAAGACTCACATCCAAGCCTAAAGCCAGTTTCCTTACTTCAATTCTCATCTCACACTCTTGGACATTTGTCTAAATGAGGCAGTAAAGTTCAGAGAGGCAGAGAGACAAATCCCATGGGAAGCCATCAACCCTACTTCTACCACCAGAAGAAGCTTTTGTTCTTGTGCATCTTCTAGGGATTTCATGATACCCCAACACCCTTGTTCCACTTCCAGGGCTGGAGTCTTCACACCACTGAAGTGGGCTGTGGGCACAAGAGCTTGGCTACTGGTCAGTATGTCTGCTTTTTCTGGCTTTGGTGAATAGAAGCCACCTACCAAAGAGTAGCTGACTCTAGTTGCCTTCAGCCATGAGCAGAAATAAACTTGACTCAATAAATTAAAAGCCTTTTTGGGCTCCTTGAAGCTCAGAACCCCCAGGCAAGGCTGAGCAAAACAAGCTTCACTGTAAAACCACACTCCCGTATGCTGCTGGTTACTAAAGGAAAAAATCTTTTTTTCCTTAAACCTCATTGTTGATCTAACTTTTGTAATGTCTCATTGGAGCTCTGTAATTAATTCCCAGGATGGCATGTGCTTAGCAGAGGAGGAGAGGTCCACATACAAACTACTTTCTCCTGCACAAGCATTCCAAGCCCATGCTCGCTCAGGACTGTAGACTTCCTAGTCAATGCAACGAGCTTTCCAACTTGGCAAGAAATCCACATATATATGCTTAAAAATAGTTTGCCTTTTTTCCTAACCAGCTTATTCTGATTCATAACCAACATGTCTCTCCATGGTTGGAATCTCTGGTAAACAAAGTATTAACATTACATGTTAAGTAAGAGTGGTCCAATTTAAAGATTTCCAGATACATGCAGGGAAAGGCAAAAGTTGAAGGAAAATGTTCTTAAGTTGTATGTGTGCATTTAAATGGAAATAGAATTCCAGGTACTCTGTCATAAATGGAAACACTTAAACTGGTAATTGGTTTGTCTCAACGTTTTCTGCGTGAATCAGTCTTCTACGAATCGTTTTCTGAACTGAGTTACCCAAACTGTGGATGCGAGTCCCAGTCTTGCTTGACTGAGCTCAAGAAGAATATCATGGTGTATGGCTCTTTTCTGGTCTGTTGAGATAAACTCAAAAAAATCACTCTTCCCTACTTATTCTTAACACTCAAGAGCATGCAAAGCGTCACTGCAACCACTTTGCAACGTGGAACCGCAGTGCAAGCACACTCTGCGCCTCTTCAGGGTATACGTACTCTTGGGATAACAGAATCTTGAGGTGTAAGGGCTCGTAAGGTGCTCTTAGCTACCCTGTTCAATCCTTCCATACTGTCCCAAATGGTAATCAGGACACAACTGTTTGAATAACATTAAGCACTATCATTACAGTCAACGTTTACGGAAAATGTACCCTGGACCGTGGTACATGCCAAGTATTTTGTATGTGCTATATATGTAAATCCTCAGAGCTTTTTATGGCAATAGGAACTATTTATAACTCCAGTTCACAAATAAAAGACATGGAGCGGTGAGAAGACACTTGCGCAGGGTCACGCAGCTTTTTGCGTGGCCGAGCCGGCACTTGAAACTTGGCTAAGTGCGGAGCGTAATCGCAGGCACTGATGCAGCAGTGTCCAATCTCCAAGCTGCTACCCCCCCCGAGCCTTCTCCACGTGGTGGGGACAGCAGACACTGACCTTCCAGAACTCCTTGAAGTCTGGAAGTGCTCAGGGGCCTGGCTCAATCAGCTCCTGGACAAAGGCTCAGCGGTCACTTCCAGCCCCATACAGCCCCACAAAAATATGTTAAAAAGACAAATGAGTGATAGCACAAAGCACAAGACAGAAGAACTCACCCACAAATGGAAACTGGTTTGGGAACATTCCAAAAATATTATTATTGTGCGTTGTAAGCAAAATGATGAAGTAAGCAGCCAAGCTGCCCCAGATGAAGACGTGGCTAATGGCAGTCCAGTAGCTGGTGTCCAAGGCGATCTGTGAATACAACAAAGGCAAAAGAGAGATCTTCGAGGTTTAAAGGAGCATCATTCTATCATGTGACCTTTCCCAGTACAGCTCTATGACAAGAAGGCCAACCGGAGCCTGACTGTTAATTGGACATTTCTGTCGGAAAATTGACGATAGAATTTATATACATGGGTACCAGATATGCCAAGTGTGGATATACTATCTGGAGATAAAATATTGAGATTTTTACATGAGAAATAAGAAAATAAGATAGTTTTATAATTTTGAGGTCACTTTCCAAGTTGCTCTCAAACTTGTTTTTTGGGAAAAAATTTCTTTCTGTACTGAGCAAGAGTTGCACTTTATAATCTATACATAAATTTTCACATGACCATTTTAACACATACATAATCTTTTTATATAAACATTCCAACTCATTTTGATGATCCTTTCCTCGAATTGTACTCAAATCATAACAAAGCAAAATCCATAATCCTCTTTTGGCCTAAAACTCAGAAATTGAAACTGAGGGTGACCTAGGAGTGTGTTCAAAACACATCACCCTTCCAGGAACATGCTAGGGCAGCTGAACAGAAAGAGCAGGGTGCCCTGGAGAATCAAGGAAACTGATGATAAATATAAACCCTTGAATTCTCCAGAGGAGGAAAAGTGGATTCAGGGGTCATTGTTTGCATCTCAGAGGTCACAGGTGGGACAAGTTAAAGCGAAGGTTTGCATTTCTAGTAGAGTCCAGGACAGGACCACAGATTCCTTGCCGCCTGCTGGGGCCTTACCTACAGTGTGAACACACTCCGCACAGCAGTGGACACGGGCATCCCCTCCGCACCCGCAGTTTACTGTCTTTAAAATGCTGCCTCATCAGAAGGGTGCCAGCAGCCTCCAGGTGAACTGAGCTGGTCATAAAAGGGTGGCCTTTCTCTCAACAGCCCTGAAACCAGAGCCCTGCTATCCACGCCTTGGTGAAGACATACTCATTTTCTCTCTATTTCGTTTGGCTGTCAAAGCTTAGATCAACATCTCCAACTCTGTCTCCTACCACCCATCCGTTCATCAATTTCAAGGCATAGCAGTGCCCTGATCCAAGTGGGTAAGAGAAGGCAAAGTGAAACTATAACTCACTTAAAAAGCTCAGGAGTAAAACCCAGAACAGGTGGCTCCTGGGAAGCAGAACAAAGAGAAGAGACAGACAAGCAACAAAATAACAACAGAATATAGTGAGACCTCTTAAGGAGATGGGGGAGGAAAACACCGGAAGGAAAAAACACCGAGTTTAAAAAATTAATAGAGACATCAATTTGAGTAGTCACTGATAAGAACTGAATTAACATTTGGAATAAATGAATGCAAATAGTGCATCGCATAATGACAAACGAAGACTTGAAGAAATGAAAACCACTGGCACATCCATAGATGTCAAAGCTGTGGGCCTCATATACAGTTAGAAAACACAGAAACACTTGAGAAATGAATCAAAGGAATGCCATAAGAAAACTGCTCTGTGGAAACAAAGAGCGCACATCTTCAGACTGAGAGGGCCCTCCAAATTCTAGGCAAACTAATGAAAAAGAGATGCATTTTGATGGCAGTCGAGTTGTGAAGACTGAGGAAAAGAAGCTTCTAGACAGAAAAGATGCTACTTACAAAGGAAAGAAAATAATTTAATGTTATTCTGTTACAGTAAAATTGGTGGATGTGATGAAACAAGAAAGCTCCTCAAGAAAAATGCTCAACTCAAGATCTTCTGCCCACCCAGTATGGCGTGTAAATGCCAAGACCAGGAAAGATAGCTTTGAGCTCAAAAATCATAACATCTAAATACACTTTCTAAACAAATCACTCAAGGATATTACTACAAAACAAAATAAAAACTAGATTACAATAATGATTTCACAATAAAGTAGTATAAACCCACATAAAATAGTGGCGAGCAAAAATTCTTATAAGTTTATAGTGAGCATTAAGTGAGTAATATCATGAGGATAAGCAACAGTATTAACTTGGAAAGGATTTTAGAACAGTCAAAACAGGTTAACAAAGCATTTCATAACATCCCGGAACTAAAATTCAAAATTATTAACATGCAAGAGATGAGGTTTCGAGTAAGGACAAAGGGGGAAGTAAAATTAAAACATTTTAAAAAGGGTTAAATTGAAGGTGGGTGAGGAAATGTTTAGAATGAGATATGGAAGCATTTGATGAAAGGTATACTATGTAATTTTAGTATATCGCTATAGAAAATAGTGTTGTTGTTGTTGTTGTTGTTGTTGTTGTTGTTGTTGTTTTGGCAGAACTGGGGATTGAACTCAGACCTTGTGCTTGCCAGGGAAGTGCTTATTCTACTGAGCCATCTCCCCGGCCCCTGTAGAAAATAGTTTTAGATGGCCTGGAAAATGGGTTTAAAGAATTACTAATAAAATAGGAATAGTAAAATTTATAAATTATTCATGGAGAATAAGATATTTTAAAGCCTCATTAATACATTGAAGTATAAAAAAGAGAAAATGGAAAATAAAAATAATTAAAGGTAATCATAAAATAATATTTAAGAAGGAAAATAAAATGCAAATAATTATAATAAAAATTAGAGGTTTAAAGTCCTCTATCAAAATAGAAAACCAATAGAATGACACAAAAAAAGAAGGGAGCCAATGTGCTTGACTCAGACACTTTATCAGACAAATGGAAACTAAATGAAGCAAGAGAAACACTAATGTCTTAAAAAGAAATTTAAATAGACTGACATTCAGGTAGGTGAGTTGATGTATTTGGCAGAGCAAATCTCAAGACAAGCCAACATTCATGCTACTGCTGACTGCTTGTAGCCAGATTTACAGTGAGCATTGGGAGCAAAAACCAGAGAAGAAATTTTTGAAACAGATTTTGGTACAAAAGGAACCACAAATAAAGTTGGAGCCAAAGGAGGTGTCACTGCTGAAGAGATCAGCACCATTTTAAAAGAAGAACTTTGTACAGAGATAAGAGGAAAGATGCTTTAATGGCATCTCACAATCATAGCTTCAACAGGGCAGAAGTGTGGACCCTTCATCTGAGATAAGCCCCTGGTGGAGAAAGGTCACCTAGGGAATTGGTTCCCTATCATCTCACTGTGCTCAGCCAGCCAGGCCCTTAGAGGCTGCTGCAGCCATGATCCAAGGGGGCCCAGCTATCATGTGTGTTCTCAGTGATATGACCATCTATATATTTGTGATGTTCAGGCATGCAAAATGAAAATGCTATGGGGTTTAGAGGCTTCATATTTAAAGCAGGACCTATGAGGCCAGGCAATGTACTCCTGAGAGACAGATACATGAAGCAGTAGGAACTAAACCAAAGGTGGAGTAAAGATCTCAAGAAGGTGGAGATGCTAGGAACGTGGTGCCTCTGCAGAGGAAAGTTGCAGGCAGTGAGCAGAGCCAGCCCAAGAGAGAGGCAATGCAGGCTGCAAGCAGCAAAGCTATGCTTGTGGGACTACCACTGCTCCCTGGATCTCACATCTTACCAGATCTCACATCTTACCACTATATGTCCTCAATGCCAGATATGAAGTGATGAGACTTAATATTTGCTCTGTTGTGTTTCAGTCTAGTCTTGGTCCTATTATTTTCATTCCTTCATTTAGAATGGGAAGGTTGAGCATGTGCCATTATATTTTAGGATTATATAATTTTTAATTTATTTTTACAGGGGTTCACAGCTAAGAGTTTGCCTTGAGTCTCAGAAGAGACTTGGACTTGGATTTTTGAAAAATACTATAACTATTGAGATTGGGGGAAAGGGTAGTGGTGTTCTTGGTTGTACACAGGATAGGTGCCGCATGTTTTATGAAATTGTTAATTTGTTGTTGTATTTAAAGATTAAGTGTTGTTCAAGGAGACGTGTTTGGTTGTCAAGGTGAACAAGGGATGGTATGTTGTCGATAAGCTTAACTGTGTCAAGTGATTGGCTTGGGAGACACTAAGGAAATGAGCAGAGTACACTTCTGGGTGCACCTTCACGGGTCATAGAAACATGACCTCCAGGACTGCACGGGGTCTGTGCCCCTTCTCTTTGGAGCTGCTCCTCTGTGCTGCTTCCACACTGCCATGGCCCAAGCAGCTTTACTCTCTCACTCCCTTCTGCCATGACGCTTCTGTCTTGGAGTCAGCTAACTGTGAGCACAATCCCCTGGAAAGTGGACAGCCCTCCTCTTTTTTAACTACTGGGACTGGGTATCAGGTCCCAGACACAGTAAACTAATACACTAGGTTTTTCTCCTGGGAGTATTACAAGAGCTGTGGCTCTCCCTGGATCTCCTGCCCTCCTGAGGACTCTGCAGCTATGTAACACCTGTTGACACAGTGTCTTGCCTTCAACTAATGAAATACCATCAGTTCTAATTACTATGTTTTTTGGGAAAGCAATATAATAATAGTTATGAGAATTTAAAATGTACATACTCTCTAACCCAGAAGTAAAACCTATAAAATATCATTCAGCAGATTGGTAACATTATTCATTCAACAGATTGGTAAAAGTTCAGAGTTCTGCACCCAGAAGTTTCATTTCTAGGAATTTATCCGACGGTGCCTAGGACATATGTGTAGCATGCGCATTGTAACATTGCTTCAGTAACAAAAAATAGAGACATCTTAGAAGTGTAACTAGGAAGAACTGGTGAATAAATGATTGTATATTCATATTATGAAACACGATTAAGATAGAACGGAATGTGTTGATTTGGAAAGCTGTCCAGCATGCCTAGTTAAGTAAAAATTCATATTACAAAGTAATGCACAGAATGATGATCTTCTTTTGTTGAGGGTGAATGTATGCGTCAAGGCAAAGAAAAACATGGAAAGACAAATTATGGTAATTATAATGGTAGTTTGAAGAAGGGAATGAAAGGAAAATAGTTCATTTGATTTTAAACACTTCCGTAGTTTTTAAAATGTTAAAAGTCTATTTTGTAATTCAAATGATTGAAAAATTGGTGTTAAAAACGAAAATAAGAGACGACTAGAATTTGG